AGCCCGCAAGGCTGGCTGGGGAATTCTTGGAGTTGAAGTCCACACATCTTAAAGTCCCCCAGGTTGAGAAAACCTGCACTGGAGTATAAGAAGGGGAGGAGGTCCAGCACAAATCACACTTGCAGGATTCTGTTATTATGGCCAATTTCAATAAAAATAGTTTTAGTTTTCCTGTGGAGTGGATTCCCTGGTCTGGTCTACCTGGTGGGGTTGACAGTTCTGATAACTGCATGCTTTCAGATCTGTCACCTAGAGATCTGGAGAGTAATGCAGTTTACATGACAGTTAGACAAACCCCACGCCTCTTCTTCACTTTGTTCCTGTGAGGTGGTAGAAATCTTGAATGAGGGTCCAAAGCCAACAACTCATAGGATCTCCAAACTTGGAGATTAGGAAGGATCACAACTCAGTGGCCGAGCATAGCATTTGCATGCAACAGATTCTGGATTTAATCCCCAGTGTTTGTAGGCAAGTCTGGGGTTGGTCTTTGTCCAGAATCTCATTGCATCACCCTGCCAATTGACACAGAAAATACAGATCGGAGATAGAGTAGGGAGCTTTATTAGAAGCCTGCTTCCAATGTTGGCTTAACAGAAACAGTCCAAACCAGATCAACACACCGTTAGTTGGGTGTGGAGCTGCGCCAGGTCAGAAGGACCAACTGGTTTGAGATAAACTTGCATGCTCCCAAGAGTGGGATCTGCATCTTGAATCTGCTTCTGAATGGAACCCAGTTTCTCATATTCATGAAACAATATACACAGAGAATTTTGAACAAACCCATTATAATTATCTACCCAAACTCTAGGGCTGAAAAGCGATGATATCAGACTGGTCTCACAGGTCTGGAACCACACCTAAGGCTTAGGGTGAACTTTAAATGAGACACACCCAGCATGTCCCAATTTTGCCACACATGGCCTCATGGTTTGAAGCACCATCTCAGCCGTTTTTACACTGTAATGTTTTATGTTCTCAAACAACAAGAGCCAGTTTGGTGGAACGGTCAAGGTACTGGCCTGGAAACCAGGAGACTGTGAGTTCTAGACCTCCCTTAGGTGTGAAAGCTGGCTGGGTGACTTTGGGCCAGTCACTCTCTCTCAGCCCAACCTACTTTCACAGGGTTGTTGTTGTGGGCAAAATAGGAGGCAGGAGCATTAAGCATGTTTGCCTCCTTGAGTTGATCTATCTATATCTATATCTATATTTAAAGGTGGGATAAAAATCTAATAATAATTAGAGGAAGACTGGGGCTGAGTGGATGAGGTGATACAGATGACCTTAATAACTACAAACATGATATTTGAGTTGGGAATTTTTTGTTTTACCACTACATTTTCTTAGCTGCAATGCCAAGAGTTGTGAGAACTGAGAGCCAGAAATTTTCAGTGCAAAGATGTCAATTATGTCAACAACCAATGGTCATCCAGCTTCGCAGAAAAAAAAAATCTGTTACAATGTGGGAAGGATGACAGAAAGAAGTGCTGGAATTAAACTACAGAAGGAAATGCATCTTCATGCTGACAGAGGAAAATGATCTGATTTAATGGCTTCTTCCTGCTGTGCAATAAAGATCTTTATCTAGCTGTTTTGTGGGTTGGGGAACATGGGTCTTGAGCCTAGTGGAGCCATGCCAAGTTGAATGTCCAGGAAATGCTTTCTTATCATCCATCTACTGATTTCTTTCATCATACACGTAAGAATAAAACCTCACTACCGTAGGAAAAATATACTTGAAACAAGCCAAACAATATAATCCTAAACAGGAAAACAAAAAATACTCCCATAATGTGAGTCTAAGATGACCCTTTCATTTTAAAGACAAACCATCTGGAGGGGAAAAAAAAAAAAGGCTACATTTCTGTGAAACAGTCACCTATCATTACCTAAACCTTAGTTTGCTCTGTCTGTATGTTTTGAGTTGGCAAGATGCATTGAACTTATGAACTAATTGTATGAGGTGGATTTACATTGAACACTAGGCTAAAAGAGGGTTTGCTAGACTGCAATTCAGGGGCTGTGCTCACAGGTCATCTCAAGACTAGCAGAAGCATTTTCACAACATTTGTTTTATTCATTCATTCATTCATTCATTCGTCTACCATGCTATGGTTAGGTTTTTGTAGCTACGATCTGTGAACCAAAGCTCTTTGCTTAGTTTATGGTCCAGGGTACTCCATGAACCCAGAAAACAGAGTAATTCAATAACCAGCTTAAATGTGCTACGTGAACAGACAACACAGAAATGTGTTCTGTGAACAGAGCCACTGTGTTATACGAACAAAACCCTCGTCTTCCTTTCAGCTATGTAAAATAATACATTCAAGCTAACAACAGCAACTCTGAAGTGAAAGTGAAAGCAGATTGGAAAACAGGAGACTTCACTAGCATCTTCCTAAGCTTCGCAGCATCAAACTTAGAAACGAACTGGCAAATGGAAAAACTTCCCCAAAAGAGTCGCACAGCAGATCAATTTAATACAAAAATAATAAATACATCCCAGAAGGAAAGCCGCTTTTGTTGCCAAGAAGTCAAGCTCAACCAGTACCCATTTTATCCCAAAAGATCCTGCAGGGTTGGCTGGTTTTCTGTAAAATCCAGAAAACCTGATTCAACCACGGAAAAAAGTCAAAAGACCAGAAAGCCACCATGTGATGAACGCAATTCTTCACCCGCCAGCAGAACTCAAGGCAGCCCCAGTCCGCATTTCCTTGAGCGAGAGGTGCTCTCTGTCATGTACAGATAACCCCAGCCCCTCCCTTCGTTGGATATAGAGTTTAAATCTTAAGGGAGACCTTGAGAAGTTGGTGAACCAAGGCTGGAAAAGAAATTAAATATTGGGTTTAATATATCTCCAAACTGCCTCCATTACCCAGCTGGAATCTCCAGAAATTGGGGCAAGGCCAGGTAATGGCATCAATGAAAAAACGGATTTAAGAGTAATCTATTTTCTATAGACACAGGTTAACATTGAGTCAGGATGTCGTGTGAGATTGTGGGTTTGTTTTCGGTGTGGCTCTAGGAAAGCCTCGTTGCTTTTCATTTTGTGTATAAGATAGGACAGCGAGTTTATGATCAGCTTCCTTTTACCCTTTCTCCAAGCTGAAGATCTTACTTTTACTTAGGACATTCTCATGATCAGAAATATACTTTGGGATCTCTGCTGACTCTCTTCTGAAATCATCCAGAGCTCACTACTGCAGCTGTAGCACAATCCTGCAATCTGCTTAGAGCAGCGTTTCTCAGCCATGGCAGCTTTAAGATGGGTGGACTTCAACTCCCAGAATTCCCCAGCCAGCCTTGCCTGGAAGTCCACCCATCTTAAAGCTGCCAAGGCTGAGAAACACTGGTTTAAAGAATTACAATTTCTCTTGCATAATCTTTTTAACCAAGTAGTATTTACCTCCTCCAGTAGAGAATATTCATATTCTTAGATATTTAAAGTGAAAACATACTTGTTTGTAGTCTCTTCTTTTTCTAAGAGTTTGATTTTGTTTATCTCATGTGAGATTGGCTGATTTCCCATAGGAGTGGAAGAGAGAGAGGACTAGACCAGCATTTCTCAAACTTGGCAATTTTAAGATGTGTGGACTTCAACTCCCAGAGTTCCCCACACTGGACTAAACCTTCTGAAACAATTTCCTTTTTTAATTTTTTTCAATTTGATGATGCCAGGATGAAATACCCCCAGGAGACAGTGTCTAGTCATTAAGGCACCAGGCTAGAAATCAGGAGATGGTGAGTTCTAATCCTGCCTGAGGCATGAAAGCCGGCTGGGTGACTTTGGGCCGGTCACTCTCTCTCAGCCCGACTCACCTCACAGGGTTGTTTTTGTGGGGAAAAAAGGAGGAGGAAGGAGGATTCGTATGTTTGCTGCCTTGAGTTATATAAAAATAAGAAAGGTGGGATAAAAAATCTAACAACAACAAC